TTGGGACCCTGTACCCGTGTGGGAGACCCGGAAGAAGTTCCTGGATCCTGGCTTTGGATCAGCATAGCATTGGCCGTTGTGCTCACTTGGGGAGTGAATCATCAGATGGAAGATCTTCCTCTGTCTCTCTCCTCTCTGTATATCTGACTTTCCAATAAATAAATAAATCTTTAAAAAAAATGAGTAGAAGGTGAAATTAAAAGGTAACGGAAAAGTTAGTAGAAAGATGAGATTAATTAGAAAAGTTAGTAAAAAAGAAGAACTAAAAGGTAAGCTTATGTTAGCACAACGTTTTAGTCTATGCATAGCTATTTTTATAGTTTGTGCTTTCCATGAACTTAGATGCATGAATTGTAAGAATTTTTTCATGAAAACAAATATTTTATTATATTGTCCATCAACTTTTTTTTTTATGGTATTTACCCTCACCATCATCAGTGAGTTTTTTTTTTAAAGATTTATTTTTATTATTTTTTTATTGGAAAGGCGGATATACAGAGAGGAGAGACAGAGAGGAAGATCTTCCATCCGATGATTCACTCCCCAAGTGAGCGCAACGGGCCGATACTATGCTGGTCCGAAGCCAGGAGCCTCTTCTGGGTCTCCCACGCGGGTGCAGGTTCCCAAAGCTTTGGGCCGTCCTCAACTGCTTTCCCAGGCCACAGGCAGGGAGCTGGAAGGGAAGTGGGGCTGCCGGGATTAGAACCGGCACCCATATGGGATCCCGGGCGTGCAAGGCGAGGACCTTTAACCACTTGCGCCACCGCGCCGGGCCCTGTCCATCAACTTTTGAAGCTCCAAGGTACAGGGTGAATACACAGTTTAGTACACTAGGGCAAGGTGAGGGGTTTGACGTAGCAAGGTCCACACTCAAATAACTGACTGAGAGGAAGGGGCATGGGCATAGCTGCTGCCACGCAGCTATCATCTTCAGTCTTTCAGATTCAGGAGTTTGACTGTTAGCACATTCTGATATGATCATGTTTTGCAAGCTCCCTGAAACTGTTAGGGATTGAATTGTTTCTGTTTCTCTGGACACTAACTAGTACTTTGAATCCCTAAAACCCTTCTCCCACATGGCTTTATTTTAAGGTTAAATTAGATCAAAAGAGTAAGTCTCTCATTCAATAGAACTGGTGTCCCCATACAAAGATGAGATTTCAGGGATGTGTATGCACAAAGGGCACACCAGGACACAACTAGGAGGCAATTGTGTGCAAGCCAAGGAGGGTGCATACTCCAGAAACTAACTCTGCCATTTCCTTGATTTTGGACTCCAAGCTTGCAGAGCCATGAACAGATAGGTTAGGTCTCTCTTCTTTAATCCCCCTAGCATGTATTCTCTCATTATCGCAGAGCTGACAATGCACCAATTGCTATATGAAGAATATAATGGGCCTATCAGCAAACCGCAGATTTGTACTAAAAGTATGACTTCCTTAAAGATTCCTTACTTACATTCTATAGTTAGTAATATCTTCTTTTACTAAAACCACACAAAACTCAAACGATATTGGAAGGTTGCTTGATGGCAGTCTTCTCTGAATCAAGTAAGTGGATGGTTCAAATGCCCATAGAGTTACATGCATTGTTGGAATCTGATCTGTTCTTTTCTTGTCTATGCATGTAGCCTCTCGGATTAAGTGTGGGCACTATCTCTTCTTAGCAGTGCCAGGGATAGAATGTAGCAACCTTTCTGATTTTTCCTTTATTGGCCACTACCGTTTTCATATTGTTGTATACTGATTGCCATTTTTTGTTTTTTTTTCATTGGCCTTGCTTTGGGTCACTTAGAGGGGAAAGCGACTTCAGTGTCAACAGGGACATCTAAAAGTAAAAAAGGCAGGCCCTCAAAGCAATTCCAGTTGGCTGCTAATTTGGGCGTTAGCAGTAATACAATGGATTTTTTTTCCTGGAAAATACTGTGCAAAGTTTGTTTCTAACTTTTAGTTGTTGCCAACAAGCATGTGTTAAGAATTTAACACAGATTTAATTTTCTTTTTAAAAAGTGTTTATTTTTATTAAGTCAAAACTATAGAGAGAAGGAAAGACAGAAAGATCTTCCTCTGCTAGTTCAACAACCTCCTCCCCGCCAAGTGGCCACAATTGCCTGACCTGAGCCAATCTGAAACCAGGAGCCAGGAGCTTCTTCTGGGTCTTCCATGCGAGTGCAGGGTCCCCAAACCCTAGCCATCCTTGACTGCCTTCCCAGGCCACAAGCAGGGAGCCATATGGGAAGTAGAGCAGCCAGAACATGAACCAGTGTCCACGTGGGATTCTGATGCATGCAAAGCAAGGACTTAAGCCAAGAGGATATCACACTGAACCCAGATTAAATATTCTTAATCCAAAAATCTGAAAACTGAAATTTTCCAAAATCTAGTTTATTGAGTGCTGATACAGCACTAAAAAGGAAAATTTCTCACCATGAAACTTCATTTTGTGCACAAAATCATTTGATAAATTCCATTAAATTACCCATAGGCTATGTATATAAAGCATACATGAATCATAAATGAATTTTATAAATAGATTGGATCCTATCCATGAAATCTCTCTCTCCCTATATATGAAATAAATATGAAAATATTCAAAACAGCCCCAAAATTTAAAACTTGAAATGTCTGTATTTCTCAGTATTTCAGATAATAAATACTAAACCTGAGCATTTAAAGACTTATTGTAGAAGATTAAGGTGATAAATAGGTCCCTGAAGACTACCCTGGACATTGGGGAAGAAAGGAACCATTATTGAGCAGAGTTATAGAGGAAGTTCTGAAGGCAATAGGATCAGAGGCAGGCCCTGGTGTAATTGAATGAGTGAAGTGGAGATGAAAGGACAATCAAAAGCATGATTTCAGGAATATAACTTAGGATGCTTGGGAATTATCAAAAGCTGGTTGGCAGGAAATACACCTCAGTCATGGTGTTGAAAACATTAATTTTATCCTAAGTTCTATTTGGTGCAGTGAAAGTTTCAAAGCAGACCAGGGAAATCTTGAAATTAGTGTTTCCAGGCCCAGTGCAATGGCTCAATTGACTAATCCTCATGTTTGCAGGTGCTGGGATCCAATGTGGGCACTGGTTCATGTTCCAGCTGCTCCAGTTCCCATCCAGCTCCCTGCTTAAGACCTGGGAAAGCAATGGAGGATGGCCCAAAGCCTTGCGACCCTCCACCCATGTGAGAGACCCAGAAAAAGCTCCTGGTTCCTGGCTTTGGATCAGCTCAGTTCCAGGTGTTTTGGCTAACTGAGTGTGAAGAGTGGATGGAAGATCTTTTTATATCTCTTTCTCTTTTTAAATCTGCCTTTCCAATTAAAATATATTTTTTTAAGAAATAGTGTTTCTGGGCCCGGCGCGGTGGCGCAAGTGGTTAAGGTCCTCGCCTTGCACGCCCGCCCAGGATCCCATATGGGCGCCGGTTCTATCCTGTATGGCCCCGCTTCCCTTCCAGCTCTCTGCCTGAGGCCTGGGAAAGCAGTCGAGGACGGCCCGAAGCTTTGGGACCCTGCACCCGCGTGGGAGACCAGGAAGAGTCTTCTGGCTTCGGATTGGCATAGCATTGGCCGATGCGCTCACTTGGGGAGTGAATCATCGGACGGAAGATCTTCCTCTCTGTCTCTCCTCTCTGTATATTTACCTTTCCAATAAAAACATAATAAAAATAAATCTTTAAAAAAAAAAAAGAAATAGAGTTCCCAAAGGTATAGATGGAATGACTAAGGTGGAGGAAGGAGCCTAAAATAGAAATCAAGGCTGTCAGTTTCTCATGATTGACATTAATTTTGCCATTACCTGCTTTGGGTACAACTGTGTCAATTCTCTTGATGTAGGAAACCAAGATAAATAGATCACGTACAGTGGACTGTGAGGTTGAGTCAACTTGAATGATAAGACTTGTAATAATGGATGATGTCATAGAAAACTGATTGCTACAGTTTCTTTTGAATTTCAGCTCTTCCATGTCAATAATACACTGGCTATATCAGCAATTTCTGAGCCTCAGAATGCCTTGCGAGTCATAAATAGCATATTGAATGATTCTGAGGGTCAATTATTTTAAAATGTAATTTGTAGGTAATTATAACTTGCATATATATTATAATTTATTGCCTTTAGATCAACTGCATACATCATTTCATTTTCATTTTTATTTTATAATAATTGGGGAAAAATTGGGCTTCAGAGAGGATAAATGAGCTTTTTAACTAATAGGTAAAAAATCCTCAGCTCAAACTCATTTTTTTTATTTCAAGCTTTTTATATTTTGCTGGAAATTGGAAGCTAGCACTTAATATGAACACATCTTTATTGACCTGCATATTTAATCATTCTTGAACAAACAATCTCAATGGAAGGCAGGGATGAAATATATCTGATATGGTAAAATGCAATGAATTCTATAAATAACCATTGGCAACAATGACATCATCTTCTGTTCCTTCCAAGTCAGTCTGTCCCCAAAGGAATGTCTCTCACAATGTTTCTCAGATATTTAAAAATTACATATTTCTAAATTAAATATTGACCATCACGTTCACATTTAAGTTTCTCCTCATTGAGCTTTGGACTCAATAACTCTTAGTTATGGAGCGTGGTTTTGTCAGATTGATCTTGTGGAATTTGCAGACAGCTTCTATGTGCACAGGAACAGAATGATTCTGGCTGATAGAGGACGGGTGTGAGCAAGTGTGGCATGAAACGGACTGTTTGCTTTTTTCCACAGTCTGCTGATTCAACCTGCAAACCCATTCCCCAACTCCATTAGCAAAAACCTCTAAAAAACACAGGGGCCTCCATAAAGACAACTCTGGTGTTTGCAAACCCCAAGAGGTCTTTGGGACTGACAGAGTCCAGTTCTATGGTCATGATTGGGTTGGGGTATTTTTGTTTGTTTGTTTCAGCACTTGTTTTTCATTACAAAGTTAAAAAGCCAGGATCTAAACACTATGCTCTTGGATGGTAAAACACATTTTCACTTTTTGCAGTGATCCTGGAAATAGACGGGAAATTCTTATAAATCACAAAGGAAAATAAATAACCTCACCCATGGATGGAAAGAGGCAGCTTGAGAAAAGGGACTTTGGAAAAAGGCTGTCTCTAGACAGCAGTCTTGTGGTAAGTACTAAATGTTCCTTTACCACTCTACATGTTTTGGCTTAAAAGTGCATTATTCTTTGGCTGTTATTTCCTGAATCTGGTGCTAACCTGTATTTCAGTTACCCCATTAGCAACATCCTTTGGGATTTTGCTTCATTTATTTTTCACAAAACCAAAATCTAGCGAATTATTCAAATGTTTGTGTAGTGTCTTTATAGGCAAATGTCACAATCTGTCAATATTATGTATAATTACATTAAATCCAGCTCAAGTAGACTTTAGCCTATACAAAAATACTACTATATAACTCATGCCAAATGCCAAGCCTATATACATGAGTAGTTTTTTCAGCACCAATTTATCTTAACTTTGGGGCAAGTTGAGAAACAATTTAATACAGCTTCAAATACTGAAGAGCCAAGAAACTGGGATCTTCTCAGGTATGTAAATTGATTTAGCTGTGCATGAACTTGCTAAGAGCTTTAATGCTGAACAACATTATTTTTAACAACCAGGATTGGTTTGCTTTTTGAATATAAGAATATGATTAGGAGTGTACAGAGTTAGTCGCTGATTTCAGAAGGCTGGCTGTTGTTTCCCAGCTTTGGAGCTAACGTGTGGGTCACCTTTTCCATTCTGCAATATGTGTGAACAGACCAAGAATTCAAACCAGGCAGGTCACTCTTTTCTCTTTTGCTCATCTCCTGAAACAGAATTAGCTTTGTTATTTTTGCATGTGCTTGGAGACAGTGCTTTATTCATTCATATACTGAATATTTGACCCAGAGACTGGTACAGAATAGGTGTCCAAATGATTTGATGGGTTTATTTATCCGTTGAAGCTTCCAAACTCTGAAGATACAGGTGCTCTCTGGTTGTGTATGGATTAGCTGTTCAACACCTAACAGCTGGGGCTTGACTTCACAAGCTGTTTATAGACATCAGTTGATGGGAATTGAGAAAGGATTGCAGTAAGATTATGTGTCAAAGTCTTCCCTTGTCATTCAGAATCAGTGTGGGATCTGCCTTGACTGGCATACCTCCTGACACTGAAGACTGTGCTGGTGTTTTAAGTTCTCTATAGAGTAGATGATCTCCTAGATCATCCTATATCCACGGGGAGAAAATGTGGAAAACGTGGTGAAAACAGCTATGTGTCTGTCTGTGTGTGTATGTTTGTGTGTTTGTGTTTAGATGCCTCCTCCATTTCAACTTCTAGGGATCCTTGAGATAAAAATTATTTTTTGGCCCTGCCTTTGTAGAACACTTCTGCCTCATGCCTAGCAGAGAGACAGAGACAACCATAGGAGGCAATGTGAACAGTTCAAGGAGTGTTCTTTGAGTTCAGAAGTATCATCCTTGTCTTTTGGTCCCTGAAGTCACAGATTTCTGCTTTAGATCTCAATTAATTTGCAAATACCTACTATTGGCAGACACGCTAAGTTGTTATTTCTCAATAATTCGTAGTAGCACTCATTAATAAAAGGCCTAGGATTATTGCCAAGTGTCAGCTGGATGAGCAGAAAGCATTGAGGGAATTGGTAAACAGGAAGATGCAGGGTACAGATCACAGTGCTCGGAATTCTGAACTTGGGGCAGGACATAGCATGGGTGGAGGATAGGACCAGACAACATTCCACAAGGCTGTGGAGTAGTTCCAAACAAGAGAGGAAACAGTAAAAGCTTGTCCATGTTTGAATTTTATCTAGAGATAGTTTGATTATGGATATAAGTAAAATTGAGTCATGATACCAATGCTAGCTGAAAGCCAGTGTCAAACTTGCACTCCTATTGGCTTGTGGCTGTGGCTCTATTCTGACAGTGACTGTATGTGTGGAGGTGGGTGGGGGAAATGTGAGTCTGATCCTAACTTACTGGAATAGAAGACTGTGAAAATGAAAAAATGTTCCTTGGCATCCCCTGAGCTGATATTAAAAAATCTATATTGTGATCAAGGGAATTTTTCTACTGGTGAAATATCTTCCCTCTATCCTGGACACCATTTAAGCATTACATGTACATGAACAGATTGAGAAAGTCCTGAAAAATAGGGCTTTCTTCCATGATGTTATGCTTGGGGTGTTGTTGAGTATTTTACGACCTAGGGAGTAGAACTTCATTTTTGCCATTAGGTTTAGCATTCTGTTCTCTCCTCGCATACGATGCTACTGCTGTGGTAGTGATGGCAAGAGTGAATTCTTTGGAAGTGGAATTATTTGCAACTGCCTTGAATTAACTGCTGTGAGTATCAAGAAGAGAGCTGCACAGAAGATAAGGTCCGTGGTGGTGGATGGACTGCCGAGGACATGAACCAAAGCCATTGCTCCTGACTCCATGCTGAAGCCAGGCCAGGAGATGACAGAAATCATACCAGATAAGGACTACTGAGAAAGACAGCGACAACAATACATCTGGCATCACATCATACCCTTCATTCCCAAGGCATGTTGTTTTATTCGCCTTCAATTTTTCTATCACTGAATGCCAAGTATGAATGGGTTAAGCAGGAAGAAGAGTGAAGGCCCAGAGAGGTTAACTTCTGCAGGTGAGACTATGCAGCTAAGACAAGAGTGGAATACAGGTCTCCTTGCTGTCACTTTCTGTTTCATTATGCAGTATGCCAGGAAGACATGTCCTTTTGGGAACCTGAGGAGAAGAAATAGGAGCATATTAAATGTTTAAGTCTTGAAATTTCATCACAGCAATCATTCTGGCCTATATTTTTGAGAGTTAGCAGGCCCAGAGGTAATTTCCACTTTTAGATTTTACAGGAAAAAATTCCTCATAATGGAGTGTAAGAATAAGGAACTATTAACTTCATTGTACTTTTATTTTACATAATCAAACCATGAACTGTTGAGCAGAAATTATAGCTTCCTTGCAACACCCTTCACATTTAGGGACTGGAGAAACCTAAGGATAAAAAAACTCTCTGCTAAAAATTTGCAAAAGTACTCCAGCGCAGGGACCTGAGTTTGTGATACCTGGGCACAACTTTGTTTTGATGACATGGCAAGGAAGAGAGCTTAGAGAGCTATGGATGAGGAAGTAGGGATAGAGAGAAGAAGAGGGGAAGGGAGGAGGAGAAGATAAAGGAAGGAGAGAGAGAGAGGATACATGTATGCCACGATAGCACTCATTTATTCTTTGATGTTGGAGATTTTTTACTTTATAAATTACTCGTTTTAAGGATAAAAGTGTCAGGTAAGTGAAACAGAAATGAGAAATGTGTTTCAATGTGGTGGTGGGGGAGAGGCGACGGATAGCTGCAGAGCAAGACAAGTGACTACAAGTTTGCCTTCATCAGCAGGAGTGTGTCAAGTAGCTGTATATTCATGACAAGAACAGTCTTCCCTCTGATAACAATAAAAATCTCCCCAGAAATCGAGGCCTCTTCTTGACCCAAAACTCTTTAGTCCTCCCCAGGATGCTTTTTGATCGGAAAAAGTCAGCATTTCACACTGTGCTTTTTTGTTGGCAAGAATCATTCCCAGGCTGCTTATATTGCTGTTTGACACTTGTAGCTGTGATAACGTTCTGCTGGGGAGTGAATTTTCATTCATAGCAGCTCATGTGTTTTCAACAAGCATTATCTTGCAATTCAGGGGAAATTTTTTTTTTTTTGCTTTGAGTATAATTTCCTAATTCATTCTTAGTACCCCTGTTTTCTTCATCCCCACTAAATGAAGACAAAATGTTGAGTACACTAGATTCTAGACTTGGATCTCAGTATGGTTTTCATTGACTCACAGGGGCAGAAATTTAGCTACACATGTCTAGTTTTATCATTCAGCTCCCTGGACATTTACATCCGAAACATCATAGTCATCAAGTCCTCTACTGTAACTAAACCATAACTAAATGAAGGAGCAAATGTTCTTGAAAACCTGCTACTTCCCATTTTCCCTTTCATATTTACTCTGCATCCTTTTCTACATGGCTGTGCTGCCTTGACAATGAACTACATAGAACATGGGGAAAGAATCACATTCTTTGTAACCTCTGACTGGGTTTGGCCTGTGAGGAATCAGTGGATCAAAGGAAGCAGTGTGTGTTTTCTTGCTCTCTCCTTGCAACCTCAGTAACTAGGTTCTTCCACCTAAGACTGCAGTTTTATCTGGACAAGTCCTTCCTATAGCCATCATATCCATTCTGTCTGGCACCTCCTCTCTCCTTATGCTCCTTCTAACTTCATAGTAACGGCTATTGGATGCTACTGGCCCATCTCTTTATGCTTTTCTCTACCCAAATTGTGTCAAAGTCTCAGGGGTAGAAGATTTGCATCCGTTCCCTGTTTACTGTAGGATTTCTCATGGTTGAAGCAGAGAGGTCTTGCATGGATGATCATTGCCTAAGTAGGAAAGAGCAGAAAGTGGATATGGATAATGTGGAAACCACAGTAATAGCAGTGGAGATCACTATGGGAAGAAATGCAGAGGTGCTATATGGGATCTGTGGTTGGAGCTGTGCTTTGAAACAATGAAGAGAACTTGGTCATCAAGGACTGAGTTATGAGAGAAGAGAGGCTACCCGAGGACACCATTCTGTACCCTCTGCTGACAATTCAGGTCATTACTGATTGTTTCTTCCAAGGAAGCTGCTTCCTCATATTGACTTCAAACCTCTGCAGATTTATCTTTAGCTATTTCCTTTATGTAGAAAGGAGAAGTAATGTTACAAAAAGGTCAGAAAACTCTCACCGTAAAGATCCAAGGAGTCAACATTTCAACTTCGCAGGCTGCATGAAGATTGCAACCACTTAGTTCTACCACTGTAGCAGGAAGACAGCCATGGATGATACAGGAACACATGCATGTGACAGTGTCCCAATAAAGCTTTATTTACAAGGTAATGCAGCAGGCAGGATGTTTCAAAGACTGCACACAGAAGAGCAATGGGAAATTGGAAAATTCAGGCTTACTGTTCCTGGGTGTGGTGTATATTTACCTTTCGTGCATGCAATTCACAAGTCAGGCATAGGAACAGGGTTAGGATGTTATGCAGAAGTATATATACCC